TTACCAGAGACGCGTTGTCTTCGGCCAGCTCGTCCATGTCGTCGTCGTCAGACCTACGGTCATCATCGTCATCTTCTTCGCTCAACACAGGCGGGTCGTCTTCGACGATCTTGGACTTTTTGCGCGACACGCCGTTCGCTTTGCCTTTGGACTGCCGTTTAGCGGACATGACGCCGACACGTATGGCAAAACAATGTCGTCTGTGTGCGGGTATGTAGAACGCGTAAGCGGCTGGTTGGTGGGAACGTCGAACGGGGCTATTTCTTCAGCAGTAAAGTTGGCGACGTTTGCCGAGAGCGATGATAGATCGAGGACAAACAAAAAGTGCGGTGGTGGCGCGAAAAATTCGGGTGGCGTGCACAAAACGCTGTAAACACAACGCAACGGGGGAGAAGATCGGGTCAAACGGCGGCTGCGATGATAGTAGCGGCGGACGCCATTAAAAGTAAAAAAAAAAAAGAAAGAAAGAATAAATCTCGAGAGAGAGAGAGACGGACAGCGTCACGACGGCTAGAATAAACGGGAGAGAGTGAGTGAGGGAACGACAACAGTCGTCCACCGTGATGAGAGGGAGAAGGGGAGCGAGTGAGACGGAACGGGACGCGCCACGCGTGCGCGCGCGATGCTAGTCCAACTGAAAGAGAGAGAACGAGAACCAGGCTCGGGTGCGAGCGAGACGGCCGTCGGTCCGAGAGAAACGGAAAAAAAAAATAAAGAAAGAAAAGAGAGCGGCGATTGTTTGTTGTGTGCGTGTGTAAAAATCGGGGACCGTGTCGGCGGCGTTGGTCGGGTGGTGCGGCTGCAGCTGCAGCGGCATTAACACCCCCCCTTTCCCCCCTCCGAATGTAAATCCGACCCGCCAACCATCACGATCGTACATAACCGTGTTTTCGGTGCGCTGCTCGTCGTCTTTGTGCTCATCAACTCTCACTCTATCTCTTTCTCTTTCACTCAATCACTCATTTTCTCTCTCTAGGGAGTCGGATACCGGGGCAATCGCGGGCTGCGAGTCTGCGACACTGAAAATTTGCGTGACCCGGCAGTTGTTCGCTTGTCGGCTCCTTAAGGGAGGAGGGACCATTATACTTCAAGTCTCTGAAAGGTCTTTTTTGTTGTTGTTTATTAGCAGCAAATGGCGGGAGACGCGGAAGTCGGTTTTTACCGTAAAAGTCGTTTTCGATGTTTTTCATGCCAAAGTATTGTTATTATATCATTATGCTATCCGCTGCAACAGCGTGCAACCTATATCATAGCTCGTGTACACGGGGTACGCAGTGTATGCGCCTGCATCGGGTTGCATGTTCTGCGAGTTAGAAGCAAGCTTTTTTTTTTTGATACTAACTTGTTACGGATAACTTCGCCGGGGACCTGGGTTAGATGTGAAAACTTTATAGCTCTGCCGGCCATTATTCGGGTCTGTTATCTCCCCACCATTCATATATATAATAAATATTTTGGAAAAAACGTCTAAAATAATCATAACGTTAATAATAAATAGTGCTGATAATTTTATTGATTTTTAAAGTGAGTCTTCTAAAATGATATAAATTAGAGTTTTAATAAAAATGTTTAAAGTTAATTGTTCCGTGATTCTCAAAATTGTGCTACTTCTTTTTAAATTGTTTTAAATGGATCTTAATTATTTAGTTTTGATTAGCACATAAATTATGCCATGATGTAAGAGTCTAGAAATTTCTTATCACTTCGTTGACATTGTTATCTCGATTTTTTCAAAAACATTTCACTCATATTTTATTTTTCTAGTATTTCATTAATATTAAATATTTTTGGGCTGGAGAAATGGAGACATTTTTCCGGAATTTATAGATCATTTAAATTTATTTAAGTAATAATATAATTAATAATACTTGAATAACTAACAACAGTAACATATTAATAATATACTATAATATACTACGAGGTTTAAGACTATGATCGGTATATCGGTCTGATTTTAGTATTTAAACAACTTATATAATGATTGATGAGATAAATTTGATAAACACCTATAATAGTAGACTCCTAATAATAATGGTATATTTTTTCGTCGAATTATTAGATTGTTAACGCGATGTATAAACGTATTATTATGAATTACACACATAGTGAGGATATAACAAACCAATAATATTTTTTTTAGATTGCATATGACTGTATAGTGTATAAGCCTATTATAATAGTTATATACTTTTTAAAATAAAAAATATGTAAAAACTATCGATGTTTACGGATCACGTGACAAAATCACTAAATAAAGTCCTTTTTAATTAAAAAAAAAAAGCTGAAATACGTAATACCTATTTTCTAATAAGAAACATTAGGTAATAATAATTATGGTTATCATAAATAATTTTAAGACAATGTTAATATAAGCACTTATTTTTGAAAAATAAATTTTATCAACTGCATGTTCTGCGACCAGTTTGCTTGCTGTCTGTATTTATGGAAATTAATAATTGTATACACTACATAGGTGTAAAAAGTGAATGTTGTATAAAATATTATCAGTTTATTTGGATGTTTCATCTACGACTTACCTTATGGAGACATACCTACTTGTATGACTTAGCTTTTTTTTTTGGTTTAAGAAGATAATATCTAAGCTTTTTGGGACTAACTATGATAAAAGTATTCTTGAAAAAATTACTTTGTCCAAAACAAGTCATCTTATAAATAAGTAGGGTAGGTATACCAAATACCTAAACTCAATGATGATATCGTACATCAATATTTGTCGAAAATTAAAGGTAATTTTAATATCATAAAATTTATTACATAAATATGATTCATAATGTTAGACATTCGCCCATAATATACTCGTGGTCAATTCAATGACATCTCCAGACTTCAAAGCTTGATTTTTTTTGAAAAGAGTTAAAAAAAGTTTAAGATTTGTATAAGACTCTAACTATTTTAGAATAATGACATACCTATAGTGTCATATTAACAAAATTATTTGTGGGGGGGGGATGACAGGGAGGATCCAGAAATTGTCTATAGACAGTAAAAAAAAAAGGTCAAAATAATTTTAGTCGGCAAATTTGAAGATTACACCCCCACGATTTTTTCTGAGATCGTCCCTGCATTATATTGGTTCCTAAATTGGGGAAGGTGCAAGCAATTACTACGAAATACAATTTTTATTTTGGAACGTTAAGAAAAAAAAATTATTGACCAGTTCCTTTTATCCGTTATCGGGTATCAATAACGGATAACCGATAAATTATCATAAACAAAAAATACTCATTCTTAATATTGTATAGTTTATTTGTAAAATACACGAAAAAAGGAGATCAATTTTTTTCAATTTATAGGAGGAGACGCGAGATTTTTTAAAATCTACTAAGGGGGCGTAGAATAGAAAAGGTTGGGAATTACTGCTGTATTATATGAACAGCTGATTGGAAAAAAGATGATATTCCTCAATACCCAACTTTTGAAAAATTAAAAAAAATAAGATCACTATGGTTTATTGTTTTACTTATTTGAAATATTATACGCTTTTATTCCCCCCCTCCAACTGCATACCTAAGTATAAAGAAACGTTAACGTCGTTAACACAGAACAACATGTCATAATGTGGCATAAGTACTATTTAATGTATTAATTATTTTGAAGATAATCTGATAATATTGATAAAATTATACATTTAAAATCTACATTAATAGGAAATTAAAAAATATTTTTTTAGTTGTTCATATTTTTTAGATATGGCCAGTTGACATGGTTTCGCCACGTTGAATACACCAGTTTTCGTCCGATCATTGATGTCAAGCAATGTCGGGCGTAGTTAGTACTTGGATGGGTGACCGCTTGGGAACACTACGTGCCGTTGGCTTTTTTTATTATCAATAAGAAGTGGGGATATTTTGTATAATTTTTATAATCTCATATATTTAAAATAGAAGCCTTATTTTATTTATAATTTATATGAAATGTATGTTTTAAACTAGTTTAATCGGTAATTATTATTGTAAAAATACACTTATATTTAAAAACAAACAACTACTACATAAATGTGATGATTAAGAAGTGTCAGGAATTTTCACACTTCCTAAATCTTTAGAAATATTAATTGTCATCGATTAAATATTATATTTTTTCAAAAAAAAAAAAATAATAAAAAAAATATAGGTATCATAAAATAGTGATGCCTCTAGAGTGACTACCATCTCTTAATATGTCTCTTAAATCCTGATCTCGTATATAATACTATAACATATTTATTTATTTATTTTTTTTTTTATTATTATAAAAGCCGCTAGTATAAACTATGATAGCTTGACAATTACATAATAAGAATAAAACAGTATAAAAATTAAGATTAACAGACAATTAAGTACTTATATATACTATATAATAAAGCCAGCCTAACTATAACATATTATGTAGGGTAATTTTTTTAAGTAGGATAAACATATTTTTATGCTTAAATTGTGCATTCATTTAAATTTAGATTTTTACAATTATTAATTAAATTAGTGATCATTTTTTGAAAATACATTAAATATCATTTAATGACTTAGTGATTGTAATAATTTTATTAAACAAGGTTTAGTTTGTTACTTTTTATGTACCTATATTTACAAAACTACATAGTACATACACATTTCATATACTAGACATTAGTAAGCATAAGTAGTAATATAAATTACTACATTAGTTTATTAGATACTCTGTGATACTAAAGAATGATATTTTTTATGCGCATTTATACTTTAATGAAAAAAAATGTATACATTTTAACAAAATATAATCTTTTACATTTTATTTGTGCAACTCTTAATCTTAATTTTAATTTTATACTATTGAGTTTCAACTTAGAGTATTAAACTAACAGTCTATTCGATGTCTTATAAATTAAAAATTAATACATATAGGTGTAAAATATAATATAATAAAAAATAATAAAAATTTAGAATATTATATAAACTTTTAATATTTGATTTTTACCACCTTTATCTAATTATAAATATTTTCGTCATACCAAAATTATAATATCACAGAATAGAATTAGGAAGTTCGAACCTATAAATCATATTGGTGAAAATATTGTCTCTTTGTTAATTCATTTTTGATCATTCAATCCATTAAATAATTTTTTTGTATTTTTATATTTGTTTTCTCCAAGTATTTTCAAAGATGAACATTTTTATTTACCTCTCCTTCCCCTCCCCCGTCAAAAACAGACTTAACTAGAAATCTTACCGGAAGTTGAAAAAAAATGTATTTATACTATAAAAATTGTAATGTTAAGCTAAAAAATCAAATACATATAAGTAACTTAGAAACTAAAAAAAAAAGAAAAATCATTAAATAATAAAGTTTATTTTGTTTTTTAGTCTTAAAATTAATGATACAAAAGAAATGAGTGTCCAAAATGTAATAAACATTCCTGCTAAAAGAATATCGTTTGAATCAAATTTATGTCCTTGGATCAATATAGCTTTAACTGCTTGAATCGGCATAGATAATGGTAATATGATTGAAATAGGTAGTAGAGCCAATTCTGTATTTTTTATTGGCCAAAAAATACCTGAAATCATTCGAAAATATTATTAAATAATAAAATAAACAACATTAACACGTAACTATCAAACATTTACCACTCAACATTATATTCACTAAGCACACCAACAGTGTTATATAAAATGATTGGATTGAACTGTTAGTGAATGAACCGATGAGTAAACCTGTATTATGAAATAAAAATGTAGGCCTCGTGAATTATTAACGTTTTGTATAATAATTACCAATGCTCATTCCACAGATACCGATGGCAATATTTAACTGGATAATTAGTAACAAGGAACTTTCCCAGCTAATATACAGTAGAAAATCCGCCAGAAAAAATAAAGAAAATGCTTGAATTATTGAAAATATTACTTGAATTATAACAAAGCTCAATACAATTTCAAAAATCGTAACTCCTGTAATTTGAATTTAAAAATTTTTTATAGCTTAAAATTTAAAATAAGTGATATAGATAGTAACTATTTCAGTTCAATATTATTTAAGGAAAAAATCAAAGGAAAATATATCTAAGGAAAAACAATGTTTAGGAGCTTACATATTCTTGGTAATATTATAAGTCTAGAAAAAGCGTATGAGAAAAAATATCACTAACACTATCGCTGTAACCACTAGAGCAGCTCTGTACAGTGACAAGTATTAATTTTTTTTCTTAAAACCTGTATTTCAGGATAATCACTCTCATTTTGGGTACATTAATTGAACAAAAACCAAATTTCGTTCACATAACGGTGAGAATATTATTATGTATATTTATATGTTGGTTTTTTTTTTTATATCATATACATTGTAATTTTTTTAAATATTGAATATTTGATTTTTTTTTTTTAAATTTATTTTACAACCCAGAATAAGTCACTGAGTAAACGTATACAAATTATTCAATATAGGAACACTTATAATATTGTTATCTATAAATGACAAAATTTAGTTTTTGTGGGATTACTACAGTTGAGTACCTTCAGCCCAAATGAGAGCTATCCTCTAAAGACATGTTTTCAGGCGTCAAAAACTAGTGTCCTTTTAAGGATTTATTAGTCATTTGAATATTTGATAGTGTATGTAAAATATTGATTGAAAAAATTAATTTAAATATACTGAAAATGTCAATGTATAAACAAAAATATTACTATCTCGATTAATATTTCTGAATTGTTACAAAAAATTAAAATCATTAAAGGATAAATCTTTATTTTTTATTTGAATATCCTATTTTGTCAAACATTAACTTAAAATATTGTAGATATATAAATATTTTTGATTTTGTATTTTTAATATTTTTCAATTATCGAAGGATCAGCTTATGAAAAACTTTGTATTATGCTTTCAAGTTTTATAGACATTTTAGTTTAAAAGTAAATACAATTTAATACGAAAGCTAATAAACATAAAGTACGCACAACCAGGATTATATAATTTTTAAAAAATATTAGTTTAATTTCAAGTTTCTATGGTTATTCTTTTTTGATCACATAAGGTAGATACAACAGAAAAACAAAATCAATTTTATTTGAAAATTTTGGTATTGCTTAAAAATTTCAATTTTTTCGATATTATCAATTTTTTTTATCTGGATTCTTTATAAAAGAATTTGGATTTTCTTGGTAATTTTTTGTTGAAATTAAAAAAGTATATCATTGAAAATAAATATATTTATAGGGAGCTTAAAATTTAAAATTTAAAATTTAATTACAGTTGTAAGACTCGAGTATAACACATACAGCAATGAAAAAGTAGGTATTTTTTTAAAGAAATTGTTGACATTGTTTATATAAGTATATTTTATTGAAAAATGCTTAGTATGTTTAAATTATAAATTTCATTTAAAATAAAATTGTTCATTTATTTTATGTTGTAACTTGTAATGTTATAGTATAATAATAATAAGTTTAAAAAAATAAGTACGAACTACTTTTAGAGCTACCTTGGAGCTATCTCGGAGATTTTAAGTTTAATTACTATTTTCTGATTTTCCTAAATCTTATTTATCTAATTATTATTTGTTAAATCTATTTTTTTTCGGATATTATTTAACCTATAGAATCTATCTGAGTATACCGAAAATATATTTCAATCTTAAATACCTGCAATCATGCTTCTCATCAAGTATCCATTTTGAATTTCACTTTTCAATAATAATGAAAAATAAAACATCGCCGATGAAAATATAGTACTAAATTAATGAAAATTAAATAGTAATTATAATGAAATAAAATACTTGAATAAAAAAAAATAAAAAAATACTAAAATAAAAAATAAAATCGATGTATTTTAAATCTACTGTCAGAAGAAATATGTTGATGCTCAATAATAATATAATAAAAGATACTAGGTATTACATAATATGAAAGCAGTTCTATATTGGAGTAATATTTTCTGTGGGATAGAAACTAAAGGGAGTATAAATATTTTACAATGGAAAGATTAAAATAATAATCTTATTAAATATATATATATATGATATATAAAATCGTTACACTTAAGTTTTCGTGTCAACAGCTAATATTTAGTTCATAATATTCAAATTTATTACTATAGTCATTCATGTGCTAAACAAGTATATTAAATAAGTAATCGGGGCTCTTTGATATATTTACCATTCCAATTAAATAATTCTGTTGGTTTTAATTATTCTCAAACTTTCATAAAATACACCAATGATTTCTGATATTTATTATTGATAATTTTATGTTTTAAAAATTATTATAAATAATTGAATAAATTAATGTTAAATTACCATGATATTATTTCGGATGCTGTGTTTTCAGTGAGATTTAAATTTTTGTATTCGTATATCTGAAAACTTATAAATAAATAAAATATATACACTGTATGAAATATATTTAAATTAATTTATCATTATTAACCTTAAATGGGATATCGGCGTATTTTGTTGACAGATTGAATTGTTTATAAATGTCAATCAGATGTAGTTTATGAGCATTAAATATACTTTGTTTAAGATGTTTCCCAAATTCGAAGTCTATGAACACCAGGTAAATTTGGATTTGATTAAATAAAATTTTATTTTAGTGACAATGATGTTTGTTTATGTATAAGTTACTTGACAAGTCTATTTCAAAATGTATATTCGATTTTAACAGTTCGTCACGTTCTTTTGACGAGCTTTTTGTTATACTATTAACTATTGCTACTGTGTAGTTTTTAGAAACTTTCATAAGTCCTAGTGTTGAACCTTTTGTTATGGAATTTTCAGCTAAAACTTCTGAACCATAATCATTCTATTATAACATATTAAGGTTTTAAATAGATAAGTTTTAATGAAACATTGTTTTTTTTACTCACTACTTTAACACCGTTTTGGTTTAAAACATATAAAAAATGACACGAGAAATAAGAACAATTTTCAATATGTTTACATGGGAGAATACCACAATCAGTTTCTTGGTTATAAACTGCAATAGGTATGGATTTAGGATATTTTCCATAGTAGGCACAATGCAAGTATACTTGTAGTATTGGGATCACGCATAACAACATAAACATCCTAAAATTAACATGATCGTATTTTTATAACATTGCGATGAGTTATTTATTATTAGTAACAACCAGTAATTAGCGACAAGCCTAGAAAATATGTTCAAGGTTAGAAAAAAACGTATATGTATATACCTCATGAATACAAAAATAATTAAAAATAGTTGCTCGGTTAGTGTTTTATAAGCATTATTTTTTCTTTATTCTCCTCAGCATAGCATAATGATAATTATTTATGATATATTATTATAACTATAATTAAATTATATAGTTTAAAATCGGTAATAATAAAGTATTCTGTAAACGATAAGAGTATAAATTTCGGGTTATAGCACATTTATTTGAATTTATTTGATACGATTAATCAAAACCAAATCCATTACTTTATAAATTATATAAAATAAAAAAATTAAATAATGCACTTAAAATAGACAGAAATATAGAAAAGTATAGATCAAGTCACAAAATTACAAATTGAAGATTAAAATAGAATAAAAGAAAGTGAGAAAATTATTTAGTATATTAATATAGATCAAGGGAGTTAACGAGTAGATTAGATTAATAGTGAGCAGTAAGCAAAGGAAGTCAAGCAGGAAAAGATATAGATAAGTTTGTTGGATGCTTGTCAGTCATCTTGTAACGTTAACTTCACGGTTAGATTAGTGGTTATAGTGGCATTGGCTTGTTATAAATACATTTGACAAAAAACTTATTTAAATGAATTAAAGTTCTTGATTTATAGAAACAATACATCAATATAGTTCCTACAAATGACCATTGGTTTACTGTAGAATACAATAATTAATATCAAATTTTAATTCTATAGAGATATTACTCGTCTCATACTACCAGAAACAAAAAATTATATTTTTTGTCAAACAAATATAATTCTTTGTTTCGTTAGCCGATTGCCTAAATGTAGTTTGTAGTTACCAAGTGTTTTATCTACGATTCTTTGTCAATTAATTATTACATAAGATAACCTTGCAAAAAAAAATATTTTGTGATATATTTATCTCAACTTCAACTCTTCTTAATTCTTACAATAACATACCAAAAATTTCTAGTTAAAAATGTAATATTTTGAATAATAATGGTTTTGAACTTCCAAATATTTGATCTTGGATAGAATTTTTTATAGATGCTTAGCTGAAAAAAAAATAGTAATTATTAGACAATTTAGACGATGTTATAAGATAGTATACATCAGGGTAGAATTTAATGGATAAATAGTAAAAAAATTATAAAACCGATGAATGTTGAATGGATAATATGTATTACTTTATGTAATAATTATATCATATATTTTTAAATATTAGATTATATATTATTTTATTATTTAAGTAATAAAATAATAATAAGAATATGGTTAAATTTATTTTAAAACATTATTTTGAACCGATTATACAAACGCACATGTTATTTTTTAAATATTAAACAATTTAAAAATGTTGATAGTTGCAGAAATTGTTAACAATGACTTAAAATAATAAGTTATATTTATCATTTATTATTTTATTTGGATAAATGTTGAATTTTTTATTATGTATTAACATTTAAGTCTTGAAACAAGAATTCATGTTACTTTTAATATGATAAAGTTATAAAAATGTATGGAAGTACTTTAATAAGATAATGATACGTATACATATTATGTAATGTAACGTCAGTCTAGTACTCTAGCGTATTAATTTGTATACTTAAAGAAAATAGGAGTAACATTTTAGAAATTTTATTGAAATATTGAATGATAAAAATATTTTGTTTTTATATTATAAAAATAGTATAAAAATATAATAATTTTAATTTTATGTTATTATTTTTTAAATATAATTTATATTTATTGTTAAAAATATGTACATTTCTAAATTAAAGAAGGTAAATTTAAATTGGTAATTTTTTAAACGTACAATTTAAAACATTCTTATACTAAGTAATAAGTTACCAAATTTTTATTATTTTAAATTTAATTAATATCTATTACTGTTCTGAAAATAATTCTTCAGATTCCAGGTGATACATTACTATTAAAGTAGTATTTATGTAACTAAAAGTATTAGCATACATTAAGTTATCTGTAATTGTTATTCAGTCATTATTATACTAAACAATCTTTGTACAACTGTTTTTGTTCATATCGGTTGTAAATAAGTCTGTTAATATTTGTATAAGTAAATGACGTAATCGTTTTAAAAAGTTTGGTTGATAATACGGTTAAAATGTTCCTACTTTAAATAATTCTTAACTTTGTCACATATTTTTTAGTTAAAAGTAAAAAAAAAAATAATAAATAAATAATTGAAATACTACTGGCTTCAAATATAGTATGCTAGTGTCTCGTAAAATCACCAAGGCTATAGTAACAAGGTTAGATATTTATTTTTGTATAAATAACAGCATTACCTTTTTATTATGCGGTGTCTCAGATTGATTTGAATTGATCCAAGAGTTTTTCTAAATTTAAATTAAACAATTAATATTGTAAATTTACTTTTTTTTTTAAAGCATTTATATTATTTGATAATTAGTATAATGTAAAAATGCATTATTAAATTAGTATTATCATTAGTGGCCGAAAGTCGTTCTCTGAAAATAAGTTAAGTATGCGAGGAACATAATTTCCTTTAAAATAAAAATAAATTTAATATAATTTTTTAAACTGTGATTTATTTTACGTTATTTTAGTTTAAATTTTGTGCGTAAGAAAACTTTTGAGAACATGACAATACGTAGAATCATTAGATGAAATTATAACATTCAGATAAAATAATGTGACTATATAACAATAAAAAACAGGGATATCATCATAATTAATCTTTTTAATATTTTTTATCTTCACTCAGAATCGACATTAATTGTAAAATTAAATTTAGGGCTTTTGAGGTTCAAGTAAGGCATATCACCATTTTTTGAGGAAAAATGAAATATTGATTTAACTAATCATTTTAAAAATTAATTATACCTAATTAGTAATTATAGATATGAAATTTAAAGATTAGAAATAGGTATGTATTTCATGCTTATATAAAAAAATGGAAATATATCCTTAAATTTAGTTAAGTCTATAGCTTAAATTCATAAGCCACTTTTTGGATCATTTAATAAAAACATGTAAATGCATACATTTCTGGACACTTATGATAATACATAATATAAAAACTACTGTTTGTATAAGTAGATAATATTATGTTGTGTACATCAATATTAATAGACATTAAACTGGTGTAAAGGTCTTTTATGATTGCATCTATAGACTTATTTGGGTTCGTTCGATATAATTCTTCTACTTCTCTTTCAAATATAATTTTTCCATTTTTTAAATACGCTATCTAAAATATATAAAAAATAATTTAATTTTAACTGTTTATAAAATGTTATTAATTATAATTAAAACCTTAGTTGCTAAAAATGCTTCTTCAATATTATTTGTGGCTACAATTACTGTTGGTTTCCAAGTAGAAATCACGTGATACAAGTATTTCCAAATTCTGCAGAGAGAACAAATAATTATGTTAAGTAAACATTTTTTAAAAAATTTAATATACTGATTTTTTTTTAATAAGTCTAGTCCTATAGTAGGCTCGTCTAATACCACTAATCGAGGTCTGTGAAATACGGCTATCATAAATGATATCATTCGTTTTTCACTGAAACTA